AACAAAACCAGCTATTATATTCCTACAAAACAAGAAAACCACACGTTTTCTGTTCTTGAAATGCTGAACATAGCAGTTGATGTCTTATATTATACTCAGCTTTACATAAGCATTTGGTCTTTGTTTTGCATGATTTGAGTCTTGTTTTTTAGGTTATAAGTCTTTAATAGTTTGTTTTACATTTTAGGATGATCTTGCATTAGCATTGCATTCATGTTTGTATTTGAGCATAACCGCATGTATTCTCGAGATCAATTGAGCTAAGGAAGGGGTTCACATGAAGCTTGGCACTAAGACAAGAAGAAATGGCTGAGAAGCAAGAGTATTGGAGTACACGATTGGACCACAAATCCTGCCAAACGGTCGAGCAGCTGATCATGTGAATTGAATGAAGACTTGTGCTCGACTGAGGCAAACGACCAACCACTCCACCGAGCTCCTGATCGAGCACTTGTAACCGACTCTCTATTTTTTCTGCTAGTGAAATAGAGTTTCCATCTCTTATTATAAACTACCCCTTTCTCTCATTTATTGAAAATCTTGCTTTTGCTCTAGGTTTTTATGCTTTATCCTAAACACCTGAAATTAACTTGTAATCTAAATATCTTTTGATCGATTTGGAATTTGATTTTGGTTCTTTGTTCTATATTGTTTCTTACATCTAGATCTATATGATTATGCATCTTTTAGAGTTTTCTGGGTTTGAATCTATGATCATGTTTTTTTAGGTTTGAGTAGTGAACTAGGGTTCTTGAGGATATGATAGGTTAATGAAGAATCTTGGTCTCTAAGGAGTGTTTAAGCTTAGATTTCAATAGATCCCATATGGATCAGAGATACAATAGTTAGTTTTGTCTTGATCTTGTGGAGTTAGGTCTTAGACATTTCATCACCCACAAGGTGTTTTATAACAGGTGCAACTGCATAGAAACAAGATAAATCAGTAACATCAAAAGTAGAAGGGATATTCATCTCACATATTAGTTCTATTTTGTAAGCATTGTCTTTGATCTTTTCTAGCACTCGAAAGGGACCATCTCCTCGTGGTGCGAACTTTGACTTTCGTTGTTTTGAGAACCTCTGATACTATGATTTTTTAATCCTTTGGAGTTTAATCTTCCTAGGGTAATGTAGTACAAAGGGTTTATCAATCCAATTGAGTGAAATGCAAACAAATTAAGATTGCAAAAGAAACGAACATGTTAAGCCAAGCAAATAACACTTTAAACTTTCAATCTAAGTGCATAAATAAAATGACATAAACTAAGAATTAAGAACAAGACTAAGCATATAAGAGCTATAGAAGCATAAATAATGCAAAAATGAAAGCAAGTAATCAATAAAAAGAAGTAAGGTCTAAGGGATGGGGTAAATAATTTCAGTGGAGTCTCTCAGATCACTAGATTAGGGAAAGCTCATGGACTGAAACGAAGAGTCGATGTCACATGACAAAGAGGGAGTTTGTGATTGATGATTTGGAATTTCACCGTTGAAGACTCGGTCTTGGACCTCATGTGAAAGGCTTCTATCTTTATTTTTGGTTGTAATTAGGTGTTTTACATTCTGCATTTGCCCTTCTCCTTTTGCAACTCATCCAAGAAGGAAAAAAAAAAACATCATCGCTTCATCTTGTTTCCGTAGGCCGCATGTTCATTTCTTGGTTGAATAGATGGACCAAAAATTTGGTTTAACTACTTTATGTTTCCATGATTTTATTTTTATTTTCACTAGATGATGACCCGCCCGTACGTGCGGGTGTATTTTCAAAGCATAGTTTATTTGTTTAGTTGTTTAGCTGTCTTAAATAATGTATTGTAACAATGATATTAATAAGTTTTTTTTTTAATTTCGTTTGGTTGAAGTAATTGGGACTGCACTTTTTAAATGGATTAGTAGAATCTAAAATGTAGATTTGGAAGACAAAAGTTTATAATGATATAGTCTTGAAGATGGTACTGAAATTAATGTAACTGAAGTCATACTTGCGTAAGCATTCGAGATCGATCTTTGACCTAATAAACAAAAGAATACAAACATAAATGTGGGAAGAAAGAGTAACATTGTTTAGCCTGTTTTGAGAAAAAAAATTTGCGACTAACCGTTGAACATGTTTATCTTTGCAAGACGAATCAAGAAATTAACTGGGCTACCTTCTGCCTTTTCACATTCATCCCACATGTTTTCATCAAATCTCCCCCACAAAGTAAATGATAAACGGTTATCACTGCATATTTTTGACGTCACAATATTATAAGAGACCAATAAACCGGACATACAAAAGCAAATATCCATTATAGTTCGCATTACCTTGTGTCTTTGAGTTCTATTTCCAACCGTTTCGATATTTTTGCCATTTTGATCATGAGTTTTCATAGCTCTAACGCTCACGACCTGTCCTAACACATCTGTAATGTTTTTCATATGCAAAGAATCATTAATATCCGCACATACGTAAATGAACAGCCGAATTCGAAAACGTAATTTATAAAGCCGTTATCTCACAAGATCGTTTTATGGTTAAAAAATCTTACCAATCAAAATGTTCTCATTGAGACCATTCTCATCGAGGATGCTTCCAAAGCCAGCCAAATAGAGAAACATATCATCGAATAGGGTAGGTGAGCGGCCTATGACCGTCGTGTTAGTGAAGGTCATCTTGAACACATGTGCTCTATTTTCCCCCATTGATTTAGTGAGCTGAAAATTCTCAAAAGTCCTCCACTTTCCTAACACAATCATTATGTGAAACTAGTTCACTTGTTGCTTCTTAACAGTTGCATGGATCAGTGTTCCCTGAAAAATGGTAGTATTTAGTTAGTATAAAAACGCAAACAATTAAACATTAACTATATTTAGTTAGTATAGTTAATGTTTAATTGATTAAGCTGTTATACATGTGCTAATTAATGTAGGATTTTTTTATATATAGATTTTCCTTATATTGAGTATTTTTAAAAAAATATAATCTGCTGGAAATTAATTGGAAAGATCGAAACAAAAGATTTTGAAAATTTAAAGATCCGATTTTTTTTAAAAAATATCGGATATATATGTTTCTAAGGAGGTTTGGCTATAGATTTGGGATTACATAAAATGTAATTGTTTTTTAAGATTATATCATTTTTGAAAATTTAATGATGTAATTATTTATGTTATATATTTCTTCACATTTTATGCTATGTACAATTTTATTAGTCGCTTATTCATAATCTAACATAATTGTTTTTCTTTTTAATTTTCATAAAATATGATATTTCATTTTCTAATATATATGATCATTTTTATTAGGTGTTAGTGAATATAAATTATTATTTCTAAAAAATTTACAAAAGACATAAAACGAAATTAATATATTTAGATATTTTCAATTTTGAATTTAATAATCCAATTTTTATGGTAAACAAATCAATATTATTTCCATAAATATAGTAGATAGTTTTATTCAAATTTTTTTTGCTGTCTTTAAATGTGTTTGGCTACATGGTTGGGATCACATTTTATTTCATTCTTTTTATTTATTTTTGTTTGGCAACACTTACAAAAAATGCTTCCCTTTTAATAGTATAGATCATCTTATATAAAATGCTTCCATCTATCTTAACATTTTTGAAGTACATTTTGTACTAAAATCTATTTTGGGTTATAACCTTTTATTTGGTAATATTTGCATAATCAGACCCTTGTCATCTCAATAAATAACAAAACTTAAAAGTAAAATTTGTAATTAAATCACAAGCAAATAGCAAAATTGGAAACAAATATTTATTACATCAAAAACATTTCCTAGAATATATCTAATAAATTCAATCTCTCTCCAATATATTTATATAATCTTATTTGTTTTAAATTTATATTATTACATAAAACATATTTATAATAAAAAATACAATTTTTTTCCGCACATTTGCAATTAAAGTTTTTGAAAACGGACGTATATAACTCAATTGATAAAGGAAAAATATATGTAGAAGTAGAAAATTTTAGATAATAGTTTAAAACCATTACAAATAGTATTAATATGCTGCCAACTACAAATGAGCATGAAGTTTGATTTTTCAGGCATCCAAATTAAAAAAAAATATTCAGTTTCATCTGGTTCTTTATTTAAGAAATTTTTTTTTAAAAAAATTTCAAAATATTATATTTTTTTTTAAGTTTAAAATGTTATTAAAATTAAAAATTTCAAAAGCTTCAAATATTATCATATTTAATTAAGGTTTATAGACTATTAAAAATATTTAAAGTCTACAAAAATTTAAAGTCTACAAAAATTTAAACTATTATTTAATATTTTAACTCTAAAAAATATTCTAATATTTTACATAAATATGATTGAACGAGTTTGAGTTCACATAAATATGATTATATTTTTTTACAGATTGCCTATATTTAAAATCTTTTACGGGTTAAAAAAAAATTATAAAAAATATAATTTTTTTTATAGAAAAATTGTCTCGCGGTGTGCAGTGGTTTGACCACATATATCTATGAATATACTTATAATACAAATTCATAAAATTATATAAAATTAAAATGAAATAAACTAATTACAAAAAGACTAATTAATGAAATATATTAAATTATGGACCCGTGGTGTACCACGGGGTAAATCCTAGTTTTAATAGTATAGATGGAACCAGATAAGTTTTTAATCTTTCGTGGGTAAATCCTAGTTTTAATAGTATAGATGGAACCAGATAAGTTTTTAATCTTTGATTGTAGCCTAAGAAAAAAAAATCTATATAGTATATGCATAACTTATGTGGTTGACAAAAAAAAAGTATATGCATAACTTATGTGAAACACACAAAAATATCTGACCTGACTATTAAATTGATGTTGGGTTGAATTGGTTACGTTGCAAACACTGAATTTTTAGTTCGAGTTGAAAATTTACAAATGGGCCGACTGGACCTTAGTAAACCCTTGACAAACCGGGCTAATCCGCCTGAAACCCGACCCGGCTGGTGCGAACCCGAAAGTTGCAACTTTTTTCACCCTAAATCAAAAAGACCCATCTTTCTTTAGCACGTTCGGAGTTGGGAAGATCAAGATCTGCAGACATGGCGGACGAAGCAAACAGAGCTGTAAGTTCCTCTTCCGCTCAATTTCTATAACGGCTCTGAATCTTCTTGTTTCCCCAAATAAGAGATGTTGCCCAAAAATGGATTTCTAATGTGTAAAGTTACAGGCTTTTATGGAGATTCAAGCAAGCATGATTGAACTCACTGGGAAGCTGAAGCAGGTGAATCTTCCCTACATTTTGATTTTTCAATTTAGTGTGATGTTGTTCATTTGAGATTTGACAATAGTTTCAGTATGACCCATTAGTTGCTTTGTTAGTTCTTGAACTATGTTTTGAGTTTGGAATCCAAGTTGTGACTTGTGATTTTCAATGGTAGATTAGATTGGTATGAATATGATTCATTGTCACCTTCCTAGTTTGAAGTCTCCAGTTTCCAAATTGTATAACCTTGTTTTGCTTATGGTTTGTGTTAATATGATTCAGTATCTATGAAGAGAGTTACCTCTATCTATAAAAACTCTAGAACTTTGGTTCATGCTTAGTATCTGCTTGGGATCATGCGACTGGAGGGTGTAGAGACGTTACTATAATTGGAAGGACTGATGAAAAAAATTAGCTGTTGAAACTGACATTTGAATGTGTATGGCTTTTATAGGTGCAGAATCAGATGCGAAACAAAGAGGGAGATAAAAAGCGAGCTTTCTTAACGTTGGAAGAGCTGCGGCCATTGCCTGAAGATACAAACACCTACAAGTCAATAGGCAAATGATTCTCTTCTCTGGTTAGATAAGCATCGTAGTTTTTTGGTTTTACCATGTCTAACTTGTGTTAAATTATTCTTGTTTTCAGGAAGAACGTGAGTGGTTAATAGTCCTGTCCAACTAGGACCTTTGGAGAATTTTGAAGGCTGATTATAATTTGCTTCGTATATGGTGAACAGGTTTGTTCTAGAGCCCAAGGCGGTGCTGCAAGGTGAACAAGAGCAGAAATTCAAGGACAGTGAGGCTGCCATTGCTTCTCTACAGGTACATTATTTCCCGCTTTTAGATAGAGATCATCTTCGAGCTAATGGGTTATTGAAATGCTGATATATATAACATGTTTGCGGGATGATTGTCAGACATCGAAGGAGTACTTGGAGAAGCAGACAGCAGAGGTGGAGAACAACTTGAGGGAGCTGTTGCAGCAAGAACCTGGCATTGCTAAACAAATTATGTCCATGTCTATGTAACTTGTTATCCAAACCTTGAACAAAAAAAGTACACTCATCACTGAGTTTAGTTCTGCTTTATCAGCGCTTCTGGGATTGAAACCATACAAATGCCTTCTTTAATGTTTGTAAGATTCTCACCATGTTTTGTCAGCAGAGAATTATTTCAAAAAGTCTCTGGTATGTTCTGACAAGTAAACTGAGATGGCATTTAACATTTCGAACATCAACAATGTTAATGAAATCAGTGTTACAATAGTTAAAACTTGAAGTATATGTTTCTTTAGTTTTTGGTAAAAACTTAGTTGACCAATAAAAAAAGCATGGTAACACTAACAACAAGTGTCCAAAGACATACACAAACATATCAAACCCCAACAAATACATTCCCTCATGTACATGATTTTACACTACCTCTCAAGGAAATCATGGATCATAATGTCTGGGCATCTAAGCAATCTACTTAAGATGTCCATAGTGTTGGCTTCTACGTCTAAAGCCGTTCCCAAAAAAACCCGATTCAAGACTGATTGACGTAAAGGACAGGAACAAGTCCTGCCATCTTCCCATCTCTTCCAGGCCGCTTCTTCTTTACCTGTCATAGTTTATAAGTTGATCAAGGTTAGGTTTTAAAAAGCTTTACTCCTCACAAGACTCATGTGTTGTCTGCCTAAACTAAGTACTACTTACGTAAAACCAGCCATCGACTTCATACTCTATCTCCAATTCCTCTTCTGCCGTCAAGTTTAGCTGCAACATACCCAAATGTGTTTTAATGCTTCCATCATAGCGCATCATTCAAGAAGAAGATTACCACATCGGTTTTGTTGAATGGATAATATTGAACCACATATCACTGTTTAACTGGGGTTTTCCAGTACATACCAAGGGAGAAAGACAAAAGCAAGCTTACCTCATCATCTCCTCCCGCGGTGAAGTCATAGAGCGCTGTTCCAAATCTTGTACCAGTCGATTTCCTAGGTTCTTCATCATCTGATTGATAACTTCGAGAACCAGACCCTGCTACAGGGTTCTCAAACGATTCACGACTTTGTGGCTCAGAATATGAATACGGAGGAGGAGGCTCTTCTCTAATCTGAAAGGGAGTGAAGGAAGAATAAGAAATGGCCATGATAAAAAAGAATCAGCTCATTTCACAGCATACACAAACAGATAAAAGAATATCAGCTTACTGGGGAACCATAGCCTTCATATGTGGGCTGGTATTTGCTTCCACCCGATTTTGCCTATATGCGTTACCACATTCATATAGTTAAAATTAAATATTTGAACCTTCTTTATGCTTAAACTATACTCATGCCTTTTCCTTTTAAGACACAACTTGCATGCATATTATTATCTCTAGTTGCTATTGTTTATGAAGAACAGACTTCAGAAACATTTTCACAGATATTTATACTTTGTCGTCGAAGCATATTTAGTTGTCATATTGGTTTTCAGTTTTCATCGTGACTAAGACTTAAGGACATTAAGAAAAAACTTACTGAATGACAATATTCTAGCACCATATCACCGTATACCTAAAGGAGAGTCTCTGGCCAATACTAGGTAATACAGAATAAACATTAAAGGAATTCTGTGCCCTACCGTTGCTTGTGAGGAAGGCTTTGAGCTGAACAATGATGGGTAGTTCATTCCACCAAAGTGAGATGATATAGAGCTTTCCACTGATCCAGTAGAATCTGGAGACGATGAACCTGATCTAGCATCTTCTTCCTGTTAATACAGCAAAGTCATGTTTTAGCACCGCTAGAACAAGTCATTTTAAAGAAAGCTCTAAGATGGATAAAGTTGACAGTATACCTCCAATTCTGAAGTTTCTAATAGAGTCTTAGCCCACATATCATCATAGCCAACTGAAGGTCTAGAGAAGACATTCTCCTCCTCAACATCTGGTGCATCTGTTCCGACTCCAGCAAGGAATTCATTGACCTGACAAGTATTATATAGGTCTGAGTTTCATTTGGCGACATAAAATAGTAAGTACCATCTATAATGTCATTGTATGAACGATTACCGATAAATCATAAGTTCACATGACCAGAAAACCAGATGAATAGTAACTACTACTGAAGCCTTAATAGCATGTAAATGCAAGTAGGATCACATCTACTTTTACTGAAAAAGTCAACACTAAAACTAATCATCACAAGTATAGTCCCAAAGCATTCATTATTGACCCCATTCAGAACAGTTCCGGACAAAGTCATGGTAGTCTATTGTAATGTGAAAACGAGTCTTATTATAATTGGTAATCTACACAACCAATCAACTATTTATTACTTTCTGATTCCTTATCAGATTTTTTTGTGCCCCATATCCTTCATCTAACAATTAGAAGAATTTATCCATAGTACACACCGGCACTAAACTGCACACATGCTAATCTGTTATCTTAAAAGTTAGATAAAAATGGCAACTGACCCTACTCATTGCTGGGGCATTGTTTCCAAGAAGACCATCATCGCCAAGGTTGGCAGCCCAAGCATTCACCAAATCATCATCCAGACCACTTGAGTTTGAGGCAGCGGGAGCAGGCTGAGTGGACTCATAAATTAAGTCTGAAATTCCAGTAGCAACAACAGCTGGATCGGTGGACCCAGTAGATGCAGTGATATTGTGCTTTGTGCGGTATCTGTCAATCAGCTTTGCGCTTCATCGGTTACAAGGAAAAAATGAGTGTTATCATACGAAACGAGAATAGAGACAGAAAAGCGCCTAATGAATTAAAATATGATGTGGGAGTAAGCATGCAATATGCACAAAACAGGTCGACAGCAAGATAACAAAACATTAATAAAATGTTAATATATTGGTGACGACATCAAAACAGGTATCACATTCTTGATTTTTGCCAGAATCTGTGTTCAAATTCAGGTTACTTATATGCAACGCAGCAAACTCGGTTGAACTAAGCATACGACAAAACAAATATAATACAGAAAATCTTTTGGAAATATAAAAAGGGTTCAATGTTTCCTATTATTCCGTCCCATCTTCTCTATGCAAGATTAGTATCACAAGTAAGTATTACTTACTAGAATGGCTAGGCTGTCACTGGTTGATATAATGAATTCAGAATGCTACCTTATCGGGCCTAGGGGTAAATACTTGGCTCTCGGAATGTAGCAAAACATGGATACAAAATCGAGCAGCCTTTCATGATTTTCGTAGAGTTTTTTCAGCTCCTCATCCTTCCATTCTTTGTTTGCATTATCGTGATTTCGTATTTCCCTTACAATCACGGAAAAAGTTATATGTCAACCATTGTATCTCATATACAGGTTTCATGCATGAATCACAGGAAAAACACATAAAAGAAGGTAAGATTTCTTCCTTACTTAATTAATTCGTCTTGTCCTATGTACATTTCATCCAGAACTTTTAACATTGGAGTTATTAAAACTCCAAGTCCTGTACCACTAGCTCCTTGGTCTTCCCCATTACTCAAGTGCATTTCAGAAAGTTGAGACTGTACACCACCCTCTGCCAAGGTGTACAGAAACTCGTATATCTGGAGCCTGAAAGGTTCACCAGATCTAATGGCTATCGTTGTAAGAGCTTGAATTGCAACAATTCGGACCTGTGTATAAACCAAACATAAACACTTAGGCGGGAAACCGTAGAAGAAATACTCATCTTAAAAGCATATCCTGAGGGCATATCATGTCTATGCTTCACAAAAACTCTAACTAAAGTGCTTGGAAGATAATCATATATAGAATGTAATTAAGAATCAGAACATATAATCAGCGATTTTCAATAACAGTAAAGGCCTGGACAGTAATGAAGCTTTAAACAGATTGATAGACCAAACGAGATCATTCAAGTCACCTTAAGTTAGTTTACTTTTATAGTTTCTGGTCAGACACAGTTACTCCAGATTTCAAATTTTATTGCATGTAAAAAAAAAAAAAGAAAAAATGAAACCTGAAAAAGAAACAGCCACTAAAAGCTAGATAAACTAGACCATTCTATTTGTGTCAACTTAAAAAAAAAAGGTCTCAAGATATGGTATTTGCTCTAGAGTGTAAGTACAAATAGAGAACGGTGCACCACCACCCAAAATGCTCTGACACAAGGTTTAGATCAAAGATGTAAGACAATCAGTCATCTATAAATTAATAAGAATGTGGGTATGAAAATATCCCACATTAGATAGGAGAGGAATAAATCACAGCATTTTAGGACCTAAGGGAAACCAATCCCTTAAGCTAGCTTTTATAGTGAGTTCTATCTAAGGGTCTTTAGGGGTTTGGTTTCTGCCCAAGTCCTATGACAATTTCTCCAGTCAAAAACAATAAATTCAAATGAAAATATATCCAACAAAACATAGTTGTATACCTCCCAGCTTCCACTAAATGCACATCTCTGGAGGCGAGTTAATGCACCAGCTAGGGTAGGATTGCGAGAACTGGCAGCAGCAACCATTTTATCTGCATCCAACATCATAAGTGCAGTGCCTGGTGGAGTTGCAGATTCCCATGCGTATTCTGAAGCGGCGTAGTTTGCATTTTCTCCAAGGAACCATACCTGCCACAGTATTCGTTCTAAGATAAGGTGTTGAAACCATTACTAAAAGCATGTAAAACAATCTGATGAATGCTTACTGCTGCTTGCACCAATTTCTGCAGCGCCAGAGCTGACTTAGGATCTGATGCAGAGACCCTATCAATTGATGTCAATCCTGCCATGGATCCCGGCTGTGGAGGTGGTAAATCAAGTACTATAGTGACGGCTTCCAGAGCTGTGTGCTTCCCGTCAGGACCAGCTCCAACAAGACATGTCTAGAAGTAGATCAATTAATAACTTGTATCAAATAAAGTACTAGAGGAAGCAAAGTTCATCAAAATGTCCCACAATAATTTGAGCCTTACAAATCGACTTGCAATTACTTTTTTTTTTTCCAAATTTATAGCTACCAAAACTAAACAAGCATACAAACTTGAAAATGTCTTATAATGAAATATGAAACAGGAAGATCAAACAACAGCTGTAAGTAATATTAAATAGCTTTAGAATTAAATCAGCAAAAAGAGAGTACCTTCCAGAGAAGCTGTAAGACATCAGCGTCGATTTTCCCGGGAACTTTGGTGGCAAATATTCTGGCAAT